GAGAGAGAGAGAGAGAGAGAGAGAGAGAGAGAGAGAGAGAGAGAGAGAGAGAGAGAGAGGGGTACCTGATTGAGGTCTATCATGAAGGTGCTGAGGCCCACAGAGATGGACTCTCTGCTCTGCATGCGGGTGAAGATCCCATCCACCAAACTGATCTCTGCCTCCTTCGCCGGGACGTCTGAGCCAATCAGAGCCATGAACACAATCAGAGCCACCTGGAGAAATCCAAACAGAGAACGGATTACTACACGATGTTAAATCTGGTAGTAAAAATGTCAGGGTTTTCTTTCAAAGCCTGGAGACTGAAGCGTAAGACATTTTCTTTATTCCTGTTAAAATTCTACAATTTTGGTCATACCATGTGGCAACCGAGATATCTGACTAAAATCTAGGTAATACAAAATCATTTAGATGATTATTTATTTGGTCACACATTTTTATAGCTTCAGCTTTTTTGTTAAATAGTGCCGTCTAGTAGTTTTTCTTTATTTGTTTGTCTCCCCCAAAATAATTTTGAAGCAAAAGACCTAGAGAAAAATAAAAAACACTTTCTTAATGCAGCTGTTGTTGATGTACGCGCAGGCTGCAGTCAGACCTGTTTGAGGTAAATGCTCTTGCCAGAGGAGTTGGGACCAGTGATAATCTTGACTCTGCCTTCGGACTCAGAGCTCTGGAAGGAGTTGGGCACAAACACGGGGGAACACAACTCCAGTAGTGGATGTCTGGAAGATCAATAAAAACAGACAGGTACCTCAAAAGGTCAGCTGTAAGTAACTTCAATGTTTCGTGTTTAAAGGGCACATAATATGGGGGTCCTAGCACAAGTTAGGATCCATCTGTGGGCTATACAAAACATGTTCATTTGATTTAATTCACAAAAAGAATCTCAAAATATGAAATTTCACCTTTTCAGTTCTTCCTGTTCTTCAGCTCTCTCCAGATCGTGCTGTATGCAGAAGTTGCTGTGGAAACCCCGTCCCAACCGTTTGTTTACATTAGCTCCGCCCCCCGACATGGTAGAAGTTTCCAAAGTGAAATTATTTTCACAAACTACAGCTTTCTTTGGCAATTTTGTTAGAACACTGTCATCAAAGATAAAAATATTATTAATCCAGGCATCTCTGTTCTCCATGGCTGCTGTAAAAACAGCAGAACTATCGTCCCGTGAAGAAGTGGGCGAAGCAGCTTAACCTTGGGTTGCCTCATGAGGAGCTGGACTCTGGTTTAGGTTTCTAGGTGACTGTTATTGTGACGTTAGAATAACGTGCTTTGAGAAAAAACATGCTTCCAGATGCCTATAAATACAATTAATTACAGCTCAAAAACAGCTGGGTGCATTTTTTTGGTGTTTGGACTGCTTCTCTAAGCAGTAGAGACCCAAAAGTAAGTTTAAAAACATGAAAAAAGTGAGTTTTGCATAATAGGTGCCCTTTAACTTCGATTAAAAACACAAAATGTCACATTTCTCATCTTGTTTCTGTGACTGAGGAGGACCTCTAATAAACAATAACAGCTCTACATTAGTACACGAGGCAGATGGCCGCCTGTCCTGAGCCTGGTTCTGCTGGAGGTTCCTTCCTGTTAATAGGGAGTTTTTCCTCTCCACCGTTTGCTCAGGATGGGAGACTGTCTTGAAGTGATTCAACACAATCTGCTGGCTTCTTCTTTAGATTGTTCTTTTTCATGTACAATGCCCTGAGACAATGGCTGTGTCCAAAACGACAGGCCGGGTCCTCCGGAGGCAGACTCCCCGGTCTCGGCAGGCCGGGTCCTTGGTAGACCYGGAAGACCGGAAAAAAAGAGGCTGTGAATTTGGACGGTCTAGCCTCCCCTCCTTACCCCGGCGTACGTCTTGTCACCTAGCAACTGTGACGACGCTAAACAAGCAAACTTAAATCAAAACTAGAAAAATATCAATACATTAGCATTATTAATATCACAAAACTATAAAATTAACTTAAAAGTATCATTTGAAGAACTAATTGACCCGCTGTAGGTTCATGTTTATTTTGCGTTTTTTATGACGAAAAAATAATATTTAAAAACATGTCCATATAAATGATAAAAGTATTAGAATTACAACCGCTAATTTTTTTTAATTTTTAAATCACCATATTTTTATTTAAAACGTATTCTTTTCTCTCGCTTCGTCCGCCATTACTAGCTTAAAAAAATCTCCGGTCGGGCCGCAATGCATTATGGGATATGCTGGGCCGGGAAGGATCCATCAGACCTGTCCTTCGATTCGGGGAAAAAGAAGGACGTATTTGTCGGACGCATCGGAGGAGTCTTCCGTTTTGGACGTCCTTCGTCGCGGCGCTGTGACGTATGCGGCCGACAAATTCGACCTTCGGAGGACCTGTCCTGTTGTTTTGGACACAGCCAATGTACGTTGTGACTTGGTGCTATGTAAATAAACTGAATTGAATTGAATTACATGGTATTTCCTGCATAGAAACAGTGTTTTAAACATCCTCTTATAAACACTGAAAAGTACTATGTGTACGACTGACTAAATGTGAAATAAATAAAACAGAAATACTATTAAAAGTAAAAGTAAGAGAGTTTTACGCCCTGACGAGTTGTGGTAAGTAGCTGCCATCTGGAATTCTGAACTCTCCCAGTTTCCCACAGGGAATTCCCACTGGAGTGGTGTTCCAGTTTAAATTTATAACTTGTAAGTGTGAAATTCCCAGTTCCAGTACAACTAGGCCACAGCAAAAGCAGACAGCAAAAGTGTAGATTTTACAGGGCAATTTACTTGACTGACGGCTTTTGAACCCTGTGCACCTCCACCTAGAGGTGGGATGCTGTCATTTCACAGGTAAAATAATCAACATGCATTATGGGAGATGTAGTTTATGGTGAATGCTGGCTTTAAAGCAGCTTATTTTAAGACATTAATACATCCCTGAAACTCTCACATAAAATGCTGGCCACATTTGGCCCGTGAGCCTTGAGGTTAATACGTGTATTTTAAAGGACGGTGTCAAGGAAGCATCCTAATCACTTGTCAAATACACCTCAACTAATTCCTTTTGATGCAAAAAGAGCAGTGGCTCTACTCCGAGCTTATCACATTATCTCTAAGGCTGAGCCCGGCCACTGTTCAAAGGAAGCTAATTTCAGTCATTTTTATGCAGAATCTTGTTTCTTTTGATCATAAGCTTTTTCAAATTAATAATCTAAATCATCTGTACCTGCCCTGTATGACTGTAATCTTTCTGTGGCTGGTAAGTTTAGGCGAGGTGTAGCTGTACTCCAGGGAGGCGCTGCTCATAGCCATCAGACAGTCCAGCTCAGCAGTGAGGTCCAAAACCTAAAATTGAACACAAATGTCTTAATAAATAGTCTGAACTTTAAATATCAATTCCAATGACTCCAAAGCACTTTACACTACAGTCATTCACACGCTGCCTGATAATTAATGGGCAGACTTTGACCAAAACCACAAAAATTGGTGTGTTTCTTGTCATTAAAAAATTCAAAATATACCGTTTGTCTATAAGATCCACATTTTACAGCTGCTGACAGGAATCTGCCACAGTATTGAGAATCGTTTTAATAAACAGAGCAAAGAAAAAATGAGTCACAACAAAATCCACCTGCGCACGTTAATAGTGTTACTCTGAGGCCAACCATCATGTCTTCAGAGTGGGAGTCAGGTTTTAAACACAGTAACCTAGATGTGCCGAGAGACACCAACCTGATAAAGAGAAGTACTCTTTTCCAGGATTGTGTTCTGCAGCTGGGTCATCACTGCCGTCTCCATATCTGAGATACAGAACCATCAAGAAAGGTATCAAGTTGTGCAGATATGAGGAATACTATCAGGTGTTTGATATACGCAGGAAAACAAAACACCTCTAATGTCACAGTGCAGGTCTCCTAGGAGGTTGTCCAGCTCCCTGGTTCTCTGGCTGCGGTAATGCAGTCGGTCCCCTGAGAGGAACTAATCCACCCACACACATACATACAGAATAGACAAATACAATGATAATGTTGACAGTACAGAAAAAGTAGACAGCAGGAGGATTAATTTAGTCATCTTTTGATCATTTGAAGATCATAAACATACCATAAATTCAAGCCCTTCCATTTCAAAATCCTCCTTTTCCACCATGTTAGGCAGCCGAGGCACAGAGAGCAGGAATCCAATCTGTAAGATATTTGATACATATTTATAGAAAATGTGCATCACTTTTTGTGCACAGATTAAAAATACTGAGCAGTAGCTGTGGTGAGGTAAACATCTGACCAGGGGGATGTAAATGACACAGCAGGAGGAGATACGAGAGTCCAGGTTTTCAAGCTCCTTTCTGGCGATGTCTGTCAGGAAGTCAGACAGTCCCATCATCCTTCTCTTCTCTAACAGGAGGACATGGAGTGAGCAGAGCTTAGGTCAAAACAGTGTTTAACTGAACGGGTAATAAGACTTACTCTCATCAATGGCAGGGTCGACGTTTGGTTTGATGGTAAAGCGATTCTCCTGTAAGCTGACTTCAAAATCCACCTAAAACATTCTTGAACTCATCAACTAGAACTCAACCAACCCTGTCTACTTTAATCTGCTAATTAAAAATGCCAGAATCCTAAAAGTTATGACTGTTTTTCTTGTGTAATAACCACCCACAACTCGGTTGATGAGATTGGCGATGTGGTGGAGATCATCAGACAGCTTTTCACTGATATCGTGAAAGAGTTGAACGGACTGAGGCAGGTTTCGCACTGTGTCCTTGATACACACCGCGCTGTAAACCGTCTGAGAAATAAACAGAAACAACACTGATTTGTCAGCCTTTAGCAGAATTTTTCTACAGCAAGGAGTCTTAGAGTAAAAATATACAGTTTCCAACCTTGTAGAGACTCTGCCAGTCAGTCACTTTGGTGTTAGAGAGAGACATGCGACGCAGGAGACTCTAGGTGCACACAAACACACAAATCCATTTGTGTAAACCTGGTTTAGGTAGACGATATGATGGTGTTTTGGTTGTAAATGGTGATAAGGGGGAGCGGATGCAGGGAATGTTACTGGTATGTTTCGGATGTTGCGCAGCGAGGACTGCAAGGTTTTCAGGATGTCAGAGTGTCGAGGTGAAGTGAAGAAACGGATCACTTCCTGTCTTCTGTGTAGCACTGACAGTTCTTGAGTAGGACGCTGAAACCATTGCCTGTCAGAGGAGAAAGAGAAAAGCCTGGTGGCTTTACTTTGAAATGCCACACATTTAAATTATTCATTCCGTTGTTATTTTGATTTATAAAAATCACTTCTGATGTGGTTTCATGTTGTGTAAATGGACTTAGAAGAGCTTTATTTACCGTAGAAGTTTGGACCCAGACTTGCTTTTACAGCGATTTAGAATTCCTGCAAAATCAAAACAGAACAACGAAAAGGATTTCTTTTAAACACTTTTAAAAAAGAAAGACAGTAATTTCTGAATTTCTACTATCTGATCTGCGTACCATAAAGACTGAGCCCTTCCTTTTCACCGGACTCTAGCTTGTACACTGATGGGTGCAGATCTGATTTGAAAATTTGGAGTACACTGGAACAAATACAAAATCCTTATCTTCTATGTTAAACAAGGTTTAAAATAAGAAAAAGAAAACTCACGCTTTTACTTGATACATGTTGAACTAAACTGCCTTATTTTGTTGAAGCGTCTTTCACAAACTAGGTTCTTAGACCTGCCCTGCATGTTTGACACTTTTCTCTATTAAACAAAAGTGTCCTCATCAGGTCTCTGATGAGTTTAATAAAGTGCCCAGGACTTAACCAATTTACTAATATCAGGAATGTCAGAATGAGAAGAAAAAACATACTAAAGAGGGAGATGTGAGGATCAGAATTGGAGACCAGGCTAATTTATAAAATACGTATATACAGCGAATAAAATAAGTATTGAACACGTCAACATTTTTCTCAGTAAATATATTACTAGAGGTGCTAATGACATGAAATTTTCACCAGTTGTCGGTAACAACCCAAGTGATCCATATATAAAAAGAAATCAAACCATACATGTCCAGAAATGAAGTTATTTGTAATAATGTGGAATGGCACAGGGAAAAAGTATTGAACACATGAAGAAAGGGAGGTGTAAAAAGGCATGGAAAGACAAGACACCAGCTGAACTTTCTCAGTAATTAGAAAGCAAGCCTGCCCCTTGTCAGTGCAAATTAATATCAGCTGGCTCAGACCCAGATGATGGCCAGGTATCACACAAGAACCATCTGATGATGGGTAAAAGTAAAGAGCTCTCTCAAGACCTTCACAACCTTATTGCAAAGCATAATGATGGCATCGGTTACAGAAGAATGTCTAAACTTCTGAAGGTTCCAGTGAGCACTGTTGGGGCTATAATTCAGAAGTGGAAAGAACATCATTTCACCATAAACCGACCATGACCAGGTGCTCCTTGCAAGATTTCTGACAGAGGAGTGAAAAGAATTATCAGAAGAGTTGTCCAAGAGCCAAGGACCACTTGTGGAGAGCTTCAGAAAGACCTGGAAATAGCAGGTATGTTTGTTTCAAAGAAAACAATAAGTAATGCACTGAACTACCATGGCCTGTATGCACGCTCACCATGCAAGACTCCACTGCTGAAGAAACAGCATGTTGAAGCTCCTTTAAAGTTTGCTGCACAACATTTAAACAAGCCTGTGAAATACTGGGAGAATATAGTCTGGTCAGATGAGACCAACATTGAACTGTTTGGATGCCAGAATACACATCATGTTTGGAGGTCAAATGGCACTGCACATCAGCCCAAAAACACCATACCAACAGTGAAGTTTGGAGGTGGGAACATCATGGTGTGGGGCTGTTTTTCAGCATAATGTACTGGCAAACTTCAAATAATTGAAGGAAGGATGAGTGGAAAAATGTACAGAGACATTCTTGATAAAAATCTGCTTCCATCTACCAGGATGATGAAGATGAAACATGGCTGGACATTTCAGCAAGACAATGAGCCCAAACACAAAGCCAAGGAAACTCTCAGTTGGTTTCAGAGAAAGAAACTAAAGCTGCTGGAATGGCCCAGCCAATCACCTGACCTGAATCCAACAGAAAATCTATGGAAAGAACTAAAGATCAGAGTTCATAGAAGAGGTCCACAAAACCTTCAAGATTTGATGACTGTTTGTGTGGAAGAATGGGCCAAAATCACACCTGAGTAATGCATGCCACTACTTTCTCCATACAGGAGGCGTCTTGAAGCTGTCATTGACAACAAAGGCTTTTGTACAAAGTATTAGATAAATTTCAGTAAGTGTAAGTCAATACTTTTCCCCTGTGCCATTCCACATTATTACAAATAACTTCATTTCTGGACATTTATGGTTTGATTTCTTTGTATGTATGGATCATTTGGGTTGTTACCAACATCTGGTGAAAATTTCATGTCATTAGCACCTCTAGTAATATATTTACTGAGAAAAATGTTGACGTGTTCAATACTTATTTTGTCCACTGTATAAGAAACCTACCTGTAAGTGTCTCTGTCAATGTACACCACACCTTTACTATATTAAAAAGAAACAAAAGCTTCAGAGGAAGAACTTCTTTCATTCACACATACAGCTGAATCACATTAAGCAGCTTTGGCATGTGGGTAGACATCCTTTCCAAATGAAAACAATTAGTCACAGATGCATTCCAAAAACTTGTAGTCTTTAAAGGCCCTTTTTATGGAAAGATTATTGCAGTCCAGTGCATATGTGTGTGAGTGTAACTGTGTATTTGTGTGTCTCACAGTGTGTAGGCATGAAACTGCAGAATTGGAACTCCAACACTGCTGTCTTCCAGTTCTACTCCCACTCTCCTCCTGTCCAGACATTTTAGCAGAGCTCCAACTGCCCTAAGCTAACCAACAGATGAACAAACATTTTCAAATGCAGCAAAGTGGTTTAAGATCAGCTTCTGCAGAGGATGGAAGGTAGGATGGTACACAGTGAGCTGGCTCACCATCAGGGGTGAATCAAAAGTGATACAGGAGGTGAGATAGGACATTTTGTCTCTATCTGAAATGCTGCCTGGAAGGAAAGGCAGATGGGCACAGAGCAGTCTTTGCTTACCAACCTCCAGGCCTAAAACATTCAAAATTAAAACACAATTAAAAGGTATTTGTGGTAAAATAATAATAATAATAATAATAATAATAATAATAATAATAATAATAATAAACTAAAATAACAGCCAAGCAAGCACAGGTGAGTAGAGTACACAAAAGTTGTACTTAAGTAAAAGTAGCACTACATAAACACAACATGTTTTTACCCAAGTAAAAGTAAAAATTAGCTTCCCAAAATATTACTCAAGTAAGAGAAAAAAAAGTATTTTGTAAATGGGCTACTTGAGTACTGGGTAACCGACAATAAAGTCAGAATTAATATTTTAAAATGATGTCATTAGACTGATAAAAAAATTAAGTTATGTGCAAATTCTGGTGTTTTTAAAGACGAACACGAAGAAAATAATACAAATAAACAATATAAATACAATATAAATTCCAGCTGAACATGTTTTCAAGTGTAACTCTGGTTAAAACATGTTTGCTCTTTAGTGAAGTTACTTACAGTGGGTACAGCATTTCAAAATTTTATTCAAGATGTAGCAATCCTTCATAATAATGTAAGCAAGTAAAGTGAACTAGTTACTACCCACCTCTGCCAGCAAGTAGCAAAGGTATAAAAATTTAAGTGGATGAGCATTTGTTTACCAAAGTCAGCATTTGGGTAAGTGACCACCTCTGGCTTGTATTGTGGGTTGGAACCTGAAATAAAAAAATTAAAAAAATCAGAGGACACGTTTAAATGTCATGTCAAAGTAGTACACAGAAACATTACAATCACTCTTTTCCTTATCACTCTTCTTAGCTACAGTGTCAAACATCTCTAATCTCATTAAATTCCCTTGACCCAAAAAAACAGCGTGTTCCACTTCACATCAAAACATTTTTTCAATTCCACTTCCCCGACCAAAGATAAGTTTTGTTTTGCAAAGCTCACCCAGTTGTTTCAGGTAGTGAGTCAGGCAGCGTTCCTGCTTTGCACTAGTAATGATCACATGGGGCTTAACCTCCTGAATCACTGAACAGCAAGTAAATAAAGTGACATGAACGTTAAAGTCAAATATTAGTTTAGAAGTACATCTATTATTTAATCTTTAAGAGTGAAGATAGATAATATGATGGAGTATTAGGGTCACACGAGATTTTTAAATTTTTTTTAAATTACGAGAATAAAGTCATAATACGTATTACGAAATTAAAGTCATATAAAAATTAAGTCATAATATTAAGAGAATAAAGTCATAATATTATGAGATTAAAGTCATAATATTACGAGTTTAAAGTTGTAATATTACGAGTTTAAAGTTGTAATATTACGAGAAAAAAGTCATAATATTGTAGCTTTTACACAAAAAAAGCATGCAGTTACCACTGCATTAAAATGAGGAATGTTGAGCAACTTGTCAAGTTGTTCTTTAGTAATGCTATAAATAAATAGTTAATCGTTTAGCACATTAGCATCAAGTTATCAGTAGCAGGACTTGGAAATTGTGCAAACGACTATAAACTGAAGCCGTATTGTAGCTAATTAATGGATGCATTGACGGATTTAGTCGTCACGTAGCTAATTTGGATGAAAGCTATTAATCTAACAGTACCTGAGTCATCACTGACTACTTTATAAACACAGAGACATGGCTGTACACAGCAGGTGTGGGGAAAATAAGGAGGAAATGAGGAACAGAAAATAGACACGTCATGATTATGACTTTTTTCTCGTAATATTATGACTTTACTCTCGTAATATTACGACTTTAATCTCGTAATAATAACTAAAAAAAACTCGTGTGGTCCTAATACTCCGTCGTAAGATAAAAAGGTAAGTTTGAGTGTACATTAATGTTGATGCTGACATTTTACTCGAGGCAAGTGGTTTGTTTACCTCTGTCCAAGAGCTGGAGTTCATGGTTATCAGATGTATCTGGCATATAGTGTAAAGAAGAGTCCTCACTATCATAAAAGCAGAGGCCCACCTGTCCATGTTGTACTAAAACACTCAATAAGACCTGAAAAATATCATGTGAATACATGCATGTTCATTTTTTGACAGAAATCTACAGATTCATTTGGTGAATATGAGCATCTTACTGCAGCAGTGTCCTCCTCCTCCTCTTCTTCATCTTCATTTCTGCCAGGACCCCCAAAAACTATCCCTCCTCTTCTCGGATCCTCTGGAGCTGCTGCCATTATTACTCTGCAAAAAAAAAAAGGGTCAATCCAAGTAAATATGCTCTTGAATGCCCACATTAGGAAGTGTCTTACCTGGCCACTTTGTAAACATTAATAAAGAAAAAAAATCATCATTCTTTCCTATAGATTGTGTTGTAAATTATTTTTAAATGATATCTGATGTGGGGGGTGTCAATAGACCATCAATTATTTTGCATGTTAACACCTTTCAGCTAGCCTGGTAATAACCAGCGTTGTTCAATCTATGCTTTGCTTTGTACGAGGAACAGTGAAAGGAAACTGGCAGACCAGTTAAGGGCCAGGCAGCAGCTGCAATTAGTTTTTATCTAAGTGGTTTCATTTATTTTTATTCAGTCAGGATCTCTAATTAATATAGACAGAGAAAAACTAAATTTTAGGAATTTCAAACTTATAATTTTTGCAGAGTTGTATTAAGTACCACAAAGTGATACTTGAATAGAAGTACAAGTATCTTACCAAAAAATTACTTTGGTAAAAGTTAAAGTCTCCTTTAGGAATATTAATTGAGTAAAAGTCTTAAAGTATCTGATATTTTTTGTACTTAAGTACACTGTTAAGTGTTATCAAGACTTAACAGTGGGCGGAGCTTATTTAACACTGTCCAGAGTTGAGACAACACTGATGAAATCAACTCTGTGAATTAAAACCAACACTGGATGTCAGTTTACCCAGAAAGTGTTAAAATAACACTTGGGGAGCTGAAATTAACTCTGAAAAGTTTAACACTGCAAATTCAACACTCCATTTTTTACTGTAAAAGTAAAAGTATTGATTTAAAATGAGCAGTAAGATTTTCTGTAATGACCTTTATTAGGAGGTGACCCCCCCCCCCCCAAAAAAAAATGTAGAAATGACTGTTGCATTAAAATACGTAATTTATTTTAAATTTAGGATGCACTAGTCTAGCTGTTTCAGTTTATATATCAAGGTTGCCCAAAACTTTGCTCCAAAATGAAAATCTATCCAAGGGCTGCGGCCAAATGCAATAATATAGTTCATGAAATACAAATACTTCTTAAGTGCAGTCCTTTTATTTTAATGTTTATGTCCTGTGTGACATGATTTGTTTGTGTACAAACTAATACTGAAACAGAATTTTATATATTTATACTTCTAATTCAACCACAGTTAAATTCACTCTATCTTGGAGGCACAAGACAGTATTTATTTTTTACAATAAGAAGCTGGAATGAAAACAAGTAAAAATGAAATAAAAGAAACAACTTTTTACTTCTTGCCTTTTTGAAGAATGTAAGGAGGAGTAGAAAGTACAGATAATTGTATGAAAATGTAAGAAGTAGAAGTAAAAAGTGGGCTGAAAAATAATTACTCAAGTAAAGTACAGATACCCAAAAATTCTACTGAAGTACAGTAACAAAGTATTTGTACTTAGTTACTTTACAACTCTCCATTTTTGTAATTCTTTCTTTGTTGGTCACTAAATTTTCTGGTTCACTCAATTTGATATAACACTAGCGCGTGCATAGTCAGATAATTGCTAAAGCTAAAGGCTGCTAAAGACTCAATATAAACCTCAAGAAAGCGAAGATTGTCCATTAATTCAGACTGTTAATTTAGTTTTTTTTATTACGACTTTAGTTGCATTGAAACTTGATTTTCAATAAAGTTTTACGTGAACTTTGAGGTGGTTAGTACATTTAAGCTAATGTACGCTAGCTAAACTTAAGCTAATGTACGCTAGCTAAACTTAAGCTAATGTACGCTAGCTAAACTTGGTTTACACTGCTACACCTAATAAAACTAAGTGTACTTACAATATGTGCTGGGCTTTAGTAGCAGCAACACCAACTCGTCACAAATTTACTCTTAAGCTTTATTTCACACTATAGAAAAATTAAGTTTTGCACTTAAACCCATTTCCAAATGCAAACTTACACCGAGGCTTCTTTGTCTTTCGTTGTCATGACAACAGCGAACTGAGCGGAGTAAACATGTAAGGGAAATACTGTATAATATGGAGTTTTAAACAATCGCATCAACACAGATTTTAGTTTTTATATCTGCAATGGCTAAACAAGGATAAAAAAATTCACATAATTGAACCGTTTAGTTTCTTATTTATTTATTTTTCATTGAGATATAGCTGAAATATTCTTCACCAGATGCACTGGAGACATGAGGCAGGAAAATGCAAACTAATGCAAACCCATTTCTTGCTTTTCATGCTGTACTGGTTATGTAAAAAATAAATAAATAAACAGTAAAAACAACTTTTATTCAAATGTAAAATATTTATTATCACGTAAAATGTTTCCTAATTTTACAAAACATTACCAAAAGTCTCAATTTTCTAATGATATTCACAGATGCATAAAAAAGGTTTACAAGATAAACAAATTAATATATATTTTGTCTGGAGATAATTTTCTGCATTTCCTTTTCTTTACAGTTTTATTTAATTATTTATTTATTTTCGGGTCATGCTCTTCTCCAGTGGCCACTGTATGAGAGACAGGGTACACCCTGGAGAGGTCCACCACAAGGACACTTACACTTAGGGGCAATTTGCCCATTAATCTAACATGCATGTTTTGACTTGTGTGAACATGTAAACTCCACACACAATGGCCGGAAGCGACCTTCTTGCTGTGAGGCAACAGCTGTTGCACCATTCATCGTGTGCTTTTATTAAATCACCTGGAAATGCATTAAAAGTCTTTAGTCAGTAAAGTGAAACACTATTTGCATGTACTGTTCATAAAAATTAGAAACATGAAAACAGGTAGTGCCGGAGGAAAGGTGGTAGAGGCAGTTCTTCTGTTTGATTCTGTCTCCGCCGGTCTAAATAATGACGAATTGACAGTCCGCATAAAGCCATTAGGGCCGGAGGGTTACCTGTGAACAAATGATAAACAAAATATTTTAGATTAAATTTGTTGTTTCTTTTTTTTTCATGATACTGAAAGTTTTGTAATACTCACGTGTGGTTCCATTCAGATAGCGTAGTCGTATGCTGGCTCCTCCTCTCACGCTGCTTATTGCTGGGAATAATTCCACCCCACTCGGAAGGTCCTTAAATGCTATGCCGAGGAAGCTGCCGTCAACAACAAATCCCAGAGTCCCTGCGTCGGCGTCCAGGACCAGCAGGACACGCTCAGGAATGAGAAGAGGCGTCTCTGCCTCTTTTGCAGAACTGGAAGACTGTGGTTTTAAAATGCTCCGACAACTCCTCGTCTTTTTACCTGGGTAGCACTCAGAAGTTTGTCCACCATGCCAGAGCTGATTGGTTTTAAGTTCCCATCCCCAGGACTCAGAGTCTCCCCCCACCAGAACTTTATACCCAGAGTCCTGCAAAGGACAGTCCTGCTTTGAAACCCCAATGACTGCATGACTTCCTCTGTGTTTGGGGCTCCACATCAGCTCCCACACATGAAGGCCGCTCTTCACCCCCACCTCCGCCCTCGTCCCGTCACTGCTGAGCTCAGTGGGTGAGCGCGTTGCTTCCTGTTTGCAAGGGGAGAGCAGGAAGTGAGGAGAGCGGTGGACAGAGCTCCAGCAGGAGCGCCCGTCTGCAGGTGAAACTGGGCTGGAGTTCAGAGTGAGTGCGAGGCGTGAGGAGGTTGGGGCAGCGAGTGGAAGGAAGGCCGAAGGAGATGGAGGAGCGCAGTCAGGAATTTTGCCACGCAGCCAAGAAGACAGGAGGAGACCCATTGGCGTGAAGAGCAGAGGCTCACCAGAGGAGAACTGTGGAGAACACACAGAACAAAACAAAAAAATTATACGATAATGCTTTCAAATTCTCATATGTAGGTCAGCAGCTTATTTGTAGGGATGGTTAGTTCCTACAAACAAGTGTCTCTCTAGTCCGACTGCATCAGTATTTTACATTTTAGGTTTTCAGTTCAGCTTAAGTCAATCTGGAACAAAAATCATTCACAAGTGATGCTGTGTTCAAGAACATAAGACTCAGGAGAGATAAAACACTGGACCTCAGATGCAAATCATCTTTGCTTTGGGATTGTTTCAACATTTAGATGTCCTTTATGGATGTATACGATTGTTTTAACAGTTTATTGGGGGTATTTGCAGGGCAATGTATTGTCTGGTTGTAAAGAATATAAACTGTGATGTGATGTAATGTATGTAAGAAGATGTGTTAAATCTTCAGATAAAGTTTGTATTTAAAAAAACAAAAGCAGAACTTCATTATGCGTCATACATACATTTTTTTACTATTTTCACTTTGTTTATGACATTTGTTTTAATTTTCTGTGCAAATACTGATGATGCTATAATCTTTTTTCCCAAGTTTATTTTATTTTTTAAGTTCAGTTAAAATCAAGGTTTAGAGAAACATCGACAGATAATGCTTTTAATAAGAAAATCTTTACAAACATTAACACAGTTGTTCTTATTTCACCTGCTGAAGCAAGAAAATAATATGAAGTTTTTTTTTAACAGAATAAAGTCATTAGATCTTACCAGCTCGGGTGGATCCTCGTTCGCAGTCAGGAGCTTCAGATTGATGCTTGCAGTCATTCTCTGTCATTTATAGAAACCTCTTATCGCCCATCCAGCCACTCTTATCTCTGCTCCGTAACGTCTGACCCAATTTTTTGATGCCCGACCTCCGGGACAGAACAGCACAGTCCATCACTTGAACCGACGCCTCAGCCGCCGAGACAAGGCCGGGAGTACCGTGACGTGTTTGTAAATACATGATATCAGACGTATTTTTACTCCATTTTCACTTATTTTCTTTGATTATCGCGTTCGGTAGTGAACGTAAACAAAAATGGCGAAACATAGGAAAAGAATTAGACTCGGACTTTTCACTAGCAAGAAAAGAAAAATGAAATAAAACCCAAAGCGGCTCATTATTATTTTAACGCATGCGCAGAACGGTCAACATATGGGGGTTTAAACCACGCGCGACGTCTTGCAGGTTTCTCAACAGATCCAAACATGGGCAAAGAACATTATTAGTTGTTAAATTAGTTGTCAAAAGAAGAAATTTATGGAGCTAAAACTCCACAGAAATAGGGAACCCTATATTGCCCTCCGGTGTCACTTTTGGGTAATTAGTTTTGGATAAAAGTGAACACAATGAAACCGTGAAAGTGTAAAAGTAAAGCCACAGAATGTACGCAACTGTTAGGGTCAATGCAAAAAAAATTAAATAAATAAAATGTTATAAGTAAAAGTGATGATGTAACAAATAAAATCATTAAGTTTTGTAGTTAATTAGACGTAGTTAACTCTCAAACAAATGAAAGGAAAGAATAGTGGCTGTTGTAGGTATTTTTATTATTTTTTATACAACTGAGCTAAATGTGTATGACACATGATTTTATACTCAAGCAATGGAAAAGTATAACTTTTTTCTGTGCCTTAAAGTCTAGATTTTTGAGAAGTAATGAGAACTATACACTACTATGCATTGTAAGAATGTGTAAAACAACAACAAAAAAAGAAATTTTAAGAAAACACAACTTGTAGTTACAATATTTGTCCAGCAGATGTCGCTGTATCTCCACAGATTATTGCGGTGCTGCGCGTGAAGCAAGCCGCCTGTTGGTGCTGCTCTGGGGCAAGAGAGGAGCAGGGCCGTCTTCCTCCCTGACCCTGAGAAAAAAAGGGCTGGGGGATGCACGATGAAACACAGCTTTACGGGCTGAAAACCAGGACTTCTATTGCTGCAGAACATGGAGCGTCGCCTCTTTTGCGGAATAAACACAGCTGTGAACCGACAGTGAGTTTTAATAAGGCGAAACATTTTTGTTCTTTTTTATTTTTATTTTTTACTTCGTTTTAGTTACACCGATTGCTGTGATTCACACACACATCTGCAATGATGTTGTGGGCTGTGGACTGGAGCAGGACTGCTGCGACTCTGCTCTGCCTTTCGGGCTATCTTTTCTCCAAAGCTACCGCTAAAACATCATTGGAAGACACAGCGGCACAAGGTAAAAAAGTGAATTTTATGTTTTTATTCGCTTGTTACAGCCAAACAATAAGCATAGCCGGCTTGTTTTCAGGCTAACGGAGCGGCTAACCCAGCTCGGATGCTGAGCTGCTCCAAAGTTAGCTAGCGTTAGCGAGTTAGCTAAAACCAGAAGTTTAGGATCTTGGAAGTGTTTGGTACTTTAAATAAAAGTTTCTTAGAGTCAGCCTTGTTTCAAAATCATGTTTTTTTTAATGAATGAAAATGTTTAAGTATTATTCGAATCCAGCTGCTGTGATTTATGTCATTTTAAGGATTGTTTATTTCACTAAACAACTGGATTAATCTGTTATATTAAACTCACTGTGTGCTTTAGTTTAAAATTGAATTAAGTGTGCTTTTCTTAAAGCCAGTGACTAAAATAGGCTAGTTTGTTAATTATAAACTAACCTATTTTGGCCACTTCATTTTCAAATCCTATAAACCGTGTTTATAGGATTATACCAGACTGTGTAGTTTGCTTCATCTCTAAAGAGATGCTGCTCTTTAATATTGTTTATTTACTGTCTTAGTTGTGTGTGGTGTTTAATTTACATTTTGTTGTTCTTTTTTTTTTTTTATTCAAGTGCATTTTTTGTTAGAGACTGAGAGTCCACTTTGTTAAACATTTGTTTAAAAATGAAACTTTATTGATTTATTACACTTACATATTACGCTTTTATAGTTATTAGTTGTAAAATGGTCACAAGGCAATATTATCACTTATCGCAATAATTTTTGAGACAATTAATCGCCCTGCAAAATTTGTTATCGTGACAGGCCTATTAATCACCAACCATTCTTTAAATAAAGCAAAACAAAACAAAAGTAAAATAAACACAAAAATAGACTCTGAACAACAACAGAGCCTAAAATGACTTGTTGAGATTGCTTATTTTGTTCATTTTGCTTATTAAAAGTTCTCTAAAAGCAGGGATTATTGTGAAAAAATCAAAACACTTGCAGACATGTTTTTTCTTTCTTAAAATATAAAAAAATCAATTGACTTCTTTTGATAACAAACCTATTTTTGAATAAAAATAACGTAAGAAAACAAATTTAATTCTAAAAGCATATCAAATCATGGAAAATGTGCAACATAATTAGCCAAAAGTGAAGAACAGCTAGTTGTTTAGTGTTTTGGTATTTATTTGACACATTTTACAACAGAAAATGTCAAACCCTATTTGTGAACAATTGCTGCTCATGGTCTTACATTATTTTAAAAAATCAGATTTTATTTTATCTGTTTAAAAAACAAAAATTTAGTATCACATCACTTTGCCTTTTTGGACTTTGTGGTTTGTTAAAACATGGTTAAAATGTTATAATATTTATTTTATACTGGCAGTTTAAGTTGTTTTAGGTCAGTTTTGTTGCCATTTTTATATATTTTACATCCTTTAATTAGAAACACTGATTACTTGAACCTCAAACTCTAAATAGTTTTTGTGCAGCGATAAAAAATGTTCTTATCTACAGGGTCAACTATTCACATAGTGTATGTTAATACATGTAAAAAATATATGATTAATAGTCTTATATTATGTGTTGTTTATTTTGTCCTGTTTTTATTTCCCTGAAGATAAAAATGTGATTTATTGGTTTTCAAATTTACAAACCAGACTATAAGTGAGAAAATGATAATGGAGGGAGGTGAGTAGGCAGGAGAAAAGAATAATCTTCTTTAGTTTGCAGAGGGACTCATAAGCTACAAAAGTATATAAAGGATGTGCAAAATGAATAATACTGTTCCCCTCTGGCAGGTTTGGACAGTAAACAGATCTGTCAAGGTATCTTTTCACCACAGAAGCCGACCCACGCAAAGGTTTAAAGCGGTTATGAATCACAATAATCGGTTTGCTTGTCGTTCAGTCACTGACTTCAAAGCTGCTCTGTTGTAGCAGCTCTTAACATGGAACCACATCTGTTTTTATCAGTCGCTTTTATTTATCATCACGAAGTCCCAGCCGTCTGTGATCACTTACGTTGCTGGCTGGCCTACATATCTCTCAGCAAATGTTTTTACAGTAGGAGAACAAACATAAACGTGGTGACTGTCTCAGTAAATCAGACGTTGGTCGAGTCGAGGAAAGTTTAATAGCAATTGATTTTCCTTTACATTGCAAGTCAACAGTTTAAATCTGGGTCAAAATTGTGTCACTTTAAAAGTCTATCTTGGGTTTGCTTCTGTCCATTTCGTTTTCTCTGCCTTGGATTGACCTTCTAATGTCTCAGAGGGATGTGCTTTCAGGTCGATAACTGAGATTTTCTCCAACAAACGGTGTAGATGAGTGGAGCCAGACAGAAAAACTACCCCAGATATTTATCTGACTTACGCTACCGCTGTCCAGAGGAAGAATGGCGTTGCAGCCTTACAGACAAACATTTGCTGCTGAGGCTTTGTAAGGGCAGCCAGGAAGTAGAGTAATCAAATCATGTTTTCACCAGACACCCAAGCTTCATTTTAATCATGAGATGCTGGTGTAAACACTAACGTGCCCAGCTCCATCAGGTCAAGAATAAGCACTGCGTTCAGAGATTAGGTCACTGACCTCGTTGGGTGAAGAGCAGTCTGTTTTAGTGTTTTGACGGAAACGTTACGTGAACTGAGGATAGTCCCATTTGCTCTTACGCCAGTTGATGTAACCTAATTAATTTCTCCCCTGCTGAGCTAATGGGATTGATAATATTGTATCTGTTCTTACTTTTAATCCAGATGAGGGAAAAAAATAGCACCACTGGCACGGCTTTAGATAAACCCAAAATATACGTTTATTATTTTCTTTTTTGTGATGTCATTGTAAGTAAATATTGACATTATGTCATTAAGAAGGTCAAATAACTCAAATATGTTTTGTGAACTGATAGAAAATAAAACTAGAATGGCTCTCATTTATTAAGACTCACTCAGCAAAGGCAGTGTGTCTTGTGAAACAATTTAAATTACTCTGAGTTAAGATTTTGCTTTTTGTTGGATACAATCTTTTTCCACTGCGTAACTTCACACTTGGGTAGTGGGCAGGAAACTCACCAAAAAATAAATAAATAAATAAAAAAAGCAAACGCACAAGAGAGAAATGCTGAAATAGAAGGTTTATTTACAAAAATTGCTACCATAAACAAGTAAAATGGGTTGTTTACTCCCCTAAAGCAGTGGAGCTTGGATGCTGTTTTAGATCAAGAGAGACTTTTTTGTTGTTTTTTAATCCACTTAGGTTTAAATAACAACCCAATAAAATGGATCACGTGATGCTGTTTATCTGTTGTGTAATTTTAAAACTTTGAAAAGAATGAATGGATTTTGGCCAATTGAGGCTTCGCAGTTCATCTTGTAAAGTTTCTTTATTTTCTCATTTTGCTAATTGTAGCAAAACAAAATATAGTATATAAAGATAGTTTTAAAATAATTATTTACATTTGTATTACCTATACATATAAATTTTTTTTGGCTGTGTTCATAAAAGTCATAAAAGCCAGGACTAAAGTTTTTTTGTGTTAATGTTTGAAAAGACTTTCTTGCTGAAACTCTCCTGATTAAACTTGTTTTTTTTTTTCTCAAATATCTATTCAATTTTTGGTAGTACATTTAGGGCTAATTACTGCCCAGACTACATACTACTTCTTTATTCATGCTTAATAACTCATTAACTAATCTATATACTGTTTGCATATGTACTGTATGTAAATGCTCATATAAATGTACTTTCATAGCATGTGTTAAGACATGTAGATAATGTTTGAATCTACTAATCCTGCAGTGCATCAATAAGTTGTTAAGGCAGTTAAGTATTTTTGTGAAGCCTTCTAAAGTGAAGACTATGATTAGTCTCTAATAAGGTGTAGTTATTATAGTGTTACCCAGTTTTCCCTACTCAGTTTATTACACAGCTGTATATTCCTTTACAGTAACAGTTTTCATGCTGAGAAGTTCCATCTGTTCTCATTCCTCTCATTTAATTTTGTGTGTTCCCATAATTAACCACATGCTTCTGTTGGAGGTGGTTAATTATTTTTAGCGACAGCCTTAATAATACTTTTTCCTTTCAATCTAATTATCTAAGTTGTTCCTAATCATTAGTTTATTATTATTTTTTATGCATTTCATAAAAGTGGTAGGAAGACAAAAATTTTACTTTTGTTTTAGATTTGGATCTATCTGCTGCTTGTTGAGGAACCGGTCACACAGATCTTAAGCATTCCTAAAATAGATATCCATCAATTTGTATGCTCATGGAAATAGCTAAACAAATGGTATACATTGAAGGGATTTTTGTCATTAATGAGCCAGTAATAAAGTTGTTTTCCCCCTTCTCGATCAAGTCTTGTGTTGTATCTAAGAATAGCGCATTGGAATTTAGTTGGATTTGAAACATAAAAACCTCCTTTCAAGATATTTTTTCATCACCATTGCAGCTTTATCAATCACTACACAGAGTGTGTTGTGCACAAGCCAACCTTCTCTTCCCCTATTTGGAAGAAGTCCCAAAACATTTCACACACACCCAGTGGACGCCAGCCATACCATCCATTTCCATGTCATCACACCTCAGCTACACGTTGCTAAAAATGAGTGGCCTCTCTAAAAGATAATTTAAGATTTGGGGAGGAGAAAACACTCTCTCCTCCTTTTGTTGTCCCCCTGGGTGTCCCTCTTTTTGCATGCATCCAAAACACACAAATCACCCCTGTTGCTTTGACTTCTGTCACTTCAGATAATTACTCTGAGACCAAACCTGTTTGACTTTCTTTTCTTTTTTCACATTCACGAGTAGGAAGTGAGCGTAGAAGGCAAATATGTAGAAGTGGAGTGCTCTTGAATCACTCCTCGAGCTGATCATCTCCTCCTTTTTTGTACATTGGAGCAAAGAGGAGACTTGTTTAACAATGATGTCAGCTGTGCACTGATTTATTGGACAAGGACAGGGAGGAGACCCTTGGATTTGTATGTGCGATTTTGACTCGACTCTCCCGTGGGAGAGT